ACTTTTTTTTTTGCAGATAAGATTCATAATTTATTAGCGTAAAGTGTGCAAATTAACATTTTGGTTTTTTGATACAATAGGAAAAGTTATAAAGAGAAATACATAACCGAAAATAGAGAAATTATGTGGGTGAAATAAAAACATATCTAGGTTATCGAAGCGCTGAAAGTTTCAAAAGTTTTCAAGGACCACACCAGGACCACACGTCGGCTGTTTATCGGCGGTTAAATTTACTAAAACTTCCCCCGAGTATTGTAATATATAATTTCACAGAATTGAGCCTATTGTACACGACCGACGACCGAGACAATAGACTTTAATTTAGGAAATAAGCAAAAAACACTTGAAAAAAAAAATTTGTTTTCTAAATATTAAAAATTGGCGACAAATTACGTCGTTAAACAGCCGCGTTTTAAACTAAAACAATTTTATTTCTCCCAAAATACCTTGGGAGAAATAAATCGAATTTTTGATTAAATAAATTTATAATTATTTAATTTTATTTAATTACGAAGTATGTTATGGAATTATTGTTAAAATGAGTGCTGAAAAATCGCGATACGAAAATTAACGAAGGAGGCGAGCAGCCGGTTCGATGCCCAGCGTTGTCGCGGTCTAAACGGCGACTGAATCTCCTGTGAGGATGCTGTGTTACTGCGAATCGTGCAAGCTCGAGGACGCGGGCGCGAAAGATTCCAAGTATCTATTGTATTGTAGAGTGATTATTTGAAAGGGACAAATTTTAATATTTCTTTGAAGCTCTAAATTGAATGAGAAAACTTCTTTTTATACGGAGAAAATTTTTTATAAAGTTACTCTTGCGTGTCAAGAAACTTTTGAAAGGAGTGAGAGGAAGAAAATAATTTTTGAGTTATTTATGGAGGGAAAAAGTCTTTAGAAAAATTATACTTTGCTCCGCCGAATTAAATCATGGCTCAGGTTGTTTGAATTAAATGATAATTAATAGTTAATATGAAATATTAAATCTGAAAATGTATATTCATAGACGGGTTTAATGGGAGGATTGTTTATTTTTAAAAACAAAAATGATAAGAGTTTTTTGTTTTAGTAAAAGGGAATTATTAATTGATTGTAGAAGCTTTTAAAAAGCTTCGGCAACAAGTTGTTGTATAAATCAAATAATAATCCATCGTTGAGCACGTTGTCAATTTCGATTTATCAGGAATTTATATTCTGATTTCCGGGCACAATATTCTCTGCGTAAAAGTCATGATTATTTTTTAAACAATAGAATAACTATCATTAATTTCGGTTTTATTCCCGAATGTTTTTACAACAACTAATGATTTTTATCGGTCAGCCGGATCAAAATATGAAATGCAGGTTTAACGTTTAAAACTTATAAGTTTAGTCTATAGACTAAACGTATTCATTGTGTTGAGAAGAACTAAAAGGTGAAAAATGAATATAGAAATGAAAAAATAAAATATTTTTTATGTAGAAAAAATTTTGATTCAAGTAAAATTTACTTAAATAAAAAAAATATTTCTTATTGACTCGAGAATTTTTCGGCTTAATTAAAAATCTTCAGAATTATTTTCTTGGTTCAAGATTTTTTTCTCTTGACTCAAGTTAACTTATTATCAAAGTATTTATATTATTATATATTATATTCCGCCTGAAAGATCAAATTTTATATTTTCCGCAAAAACGATATAATTAAGGGAAATGCCGTGTTACTTCAATCAAAATCAATTGTACATCATCGCTTTGCTGATATATGCTAATTTAAATTAAACCTTTAATTAAAATATTGGTCTCTTAATCGTGTTTAGTTGTCTGCGTTTTTCCTACGTATAGCACAGAAATTTTTCTTACAATATCATAGGTATTTTTTAAATTTTGCTTGTTAAAATTGAGTTACTTTCTCATGCTGAAATTTTTCTTTGTATTGCCATAGAAAAAATTCTTATGTCAGCATAGAAAAAATTACTTTTATATCAACTATAAATATTTTTACCATTTTTTCATACCTATATTAACATAAAGGAAATTCCTAAATACGTCAAAATTTTCTCTATGCGAAAATTAGAAAAAGTTCTATTTTTTTTTCTCCGTGTATGCGTATACATTATACTGTACGTAGAATATGATATATTTAAGTTGTGTTCAGAGAATTACTAAATTTATAAAAAGTGAGTAAATCCAGAACAACTTAACTTTGTGTTTTATTTTTAAACTATTCTACATCCAGTTTTAAAATGAATACAAAAAAATATTCCTTCTTCTATTCATTGGAATATTCAATTTTATAACTTTTATAATCATCTTATAAGATTATTTAAATACTGAAAATATTATTTATTCATCGGTCTGTGATAATTAAATTAATTTTTACCTCGTGCCTCGTAACAAGCTAATTTCAAGTAAATATTAATACCAGTACTGTAATTATTAAAACAAAAAACTTTCTAAAGAATAAGGGATTCTCGATAAAAAAGTTTTACTATAAAAAGGCAATGAAAATTTATGAAAAATAGAAAAAAAAGAATTAAAAACTAGTATCACGGAAAATAATGAAGAAGAAGAGTAAGATGGAAAAGGTAACATAAAGCGTAGGAGAGCATCTCCGTTTTCAATTTCGAGGAATTATTTTTAGAGGCAACGCAGCTCGCCTAAAAACGTTCCAGCCAATCAAGCTGTCCTGCGAACGCGCCTCAACACTCGTAAACGTCACCGAAGAACTAGTCGAAGCAGAAGTCTGTTTTCCATCGGAATAGTCAACCTCAGAAGCTCCAGTTAACTAGTGGTAGCTCCACGTTATATTATTTTTCCCTTAGATCACTTGCACGTAAGTTTATTTTTCCATTAACATAATTATCCAATCAATTTTTTTTATATAATTTGAAAAACAAATTGCGTAGCTGAGTTGGTTTAACAATTTTATTTTCAATTATAAAATTATGATAATTGGATTAGGTTGTTATTTTTAATTAAATTTTTTTTTTAGAAAAAATCCGAGAGCCATGGCTGTCGACGATGAGGTTGGGTATGTATTATTATATTATAATTATTATTATTGTTAATTATTTCAAAATAATTATCTCGATGTTATATTCTTGAAAATAATTTTTTTTCTGCTGAACAATGCATTAACATTTGCATTGCCAGCACTATTTTGATTTCCTAATTTGAATATTTTTGTTCATGCCTCCTGCCCACTTCACGGGGGAAACCTGATACTTGGATCCGCTCAACGATCAACAATGAAAAACATCAATCCAGTATTAACAGCATTATTATCAAGTATCGTTTAATTTAATACAAAATAATCTTTCTAAAAAACTTTTCAACAGTATTAGTGAACTAACAAAGTTACATTCTTTTTTAATTAATAATTTATTTTTTCCAATTAATAATAAAAAAAGGGATTTAATTAAGAGGAATTTCACTTACAAGTTTAAACAAATATTTGAAAAGAAAAAAAATCCGGAATAAATTTAACAATTCTTCGTCTTGCTATACTGCATAGAAAGTTTGAGAAACTTGAGCTTTGAGCTTTAACCTACTGTGTAAAGAAACACGCCCACATTTGATTTAACAAACAAAGATATTTTTAGCGTGAAGGTTTTTTTTTTTTTTAAATTTAAAACAAGCGATGAGTGCTAACCCAATTCTTGTAATATGAATATCAATGTAAATGTATGTTCATAAACATATTGTAAATTTATTAGATAAAACTGTGATAGAAATAGACTTTATTGTTTAACTGCGAAGGTGGATTCAAGTAATAAGAGAATAGCGTAGTATATAATAAAGCAGCCGTAAAAATTTGAATTTGTGCCAAAGATTATGATGCCGCATAAATACTTCCCCTTCTAAATAAAATATACTCATGCTGATGACGCCTGTTTCAGGCAACGTAGTAGCGGACGTGTGATAATTATAAACGACTGTTGTCGCCTTCGCTGTCGAAATAACAAACACCCGCATAAGAGATATCAATTTTCAAAATGATATTTTAATTTATAAAAATCTATTTTTAATTGCCGTTTACTAACCATTACATTTTTTGCATAATATGTTTGCTTATTAATCCAAACTCTCATACACAAACATATATTTACAAACAATTATATATACCTTGAATGCGATTAACACATGTAGAGAAGAATAGGACAAAACGGAGCGGAGAAAAATTAGTAAGTTCGGAGCGAAACAGAACACTTTTTGAAGTTTAAAAATTTTTTAGAGTAATTTACTGTTTAGTCTTTACACTTTCAATCTAAGAAAGAATCAATTATTTCAATAGTAAAATTCATAATTCAATTACGCTTTTATTTTTTTTTTTTTAATTCCAATAACCGCGACAAATTCTAGAGATTTCTAGCTCCCGAAATTTGTTTTTAAATTATGATTTACGTTTTTGTTTAAAATGATCAAAGTAATTTTTTATTGTAGATAAAAATAGTTTTATTGGAATTTTTTTAAACGATCTGAGCTAAGAAAAAAAAATTAAAGATAAAAGCATTTTTTTTTTAGAACGCAATACCTCCCAATGATTCCAAAGGTACCTGAACTGAAACATGACACTTCGTTAAAAAGAAAGTCTAAAAGCTTTGAAATGTTTCTAGCTTTTATTCTGTAAAAATTATTCCTCTAAATTTATATATATTAAAAAAAATCTTTAATCTTTTGTTTGGATTGAGAAATTAAAATGATGTATTTTTTTGTTTAAAGAAATTAAAAGTACTTCAAATAATTGGAAAGTCATGACTTTCCAGATCAAATTTACAATGTTATTTGATCGAATATATTCCTAATTATCACAAAAAATGTGAAATGTAAACAATAAATTTGAGTTTAAAAATAAATTCAATCTTAAAAATAGCGTTCTATTTCGACCCGAAGACTTACCAATCTTCAAGCGCTCTATTTTGCCTCAACTTCTAGATCTCATTTCTTTCCAATCATACAACATATAAAAAAACACACATATAAATATACAATACACAAATTATTTTTAAATCCTCTTTTTTTTACAGAGGAAACGTATCGAGGATGTACGTAAGACAACACACACAATTTTATTATTAACTTTTTATTTTTTAGTAACCCTAGAGTGAACCTTTGGAAAATTTTTAAAATAAAAACTAACAAATTTAATTAATAGTTGAAAATTTAGCAAACAAATAAATTATTAATGTAATAAATCATAATTTATAAATTTCTCATGGGAAAAGATAATTATAAAAATGAATGAAAATAGGAAAGGAAAAGAAAACAAGCAGAGACGGACCGAAAACGAGCTGAAGTTCGTGCTCGTCTCGAGGAAGCGTCCAAAGCTAAAAAGGCCAAGAAAGGTTTTATGACCCCAGAGAGAAAGAAGAAACTCAGGGTGAGTAAAAATAAATCTTACAAGATTTCTTTTTGTTCCTTAGTTTTCTCTTATTTTATATGAACACATGTGAAAAAAAAGAGTATCAAATAAATAACTGAACCGTTTGATTAATTGTACAGTTGCTGCTGCGTAAGAAAGCCGCTGAAGAGTTGAAAAAAGAGCAGGAAAGAAAAGCTGCCGAGAGACGGCGTATCATCGAGCAACGTTGTGGAAAACCTAGACCTATTGAAGATGCCAATGAAGGTGATTATTCATTATCGATGACAATGATTATCAGTTAGATTGATTATTAGTTTTTAAAATTTTATTTAGTTTGTAGAAACGCAGCTAAGCTATTTATATCAGTATATTTCTATATTTGATTAGAAAAATATTTATTAGAATAATTTCATTAATTTTAGAGTAATTTATTGTAAGATAAAAGGCCCAATTACACAACAAATTTTAATTTTATTAAAAAAATAATCGTACTTTTCAAGAACAACCAAAGTTACTTTGACAAGAACAGTAATTGTAATTAAAATTTTTATTTACAAAAATTTATTAAGTAGTAGACATTAATATGAATTTCGAAAAGAAGTACAACTGTTATTTAAATTCACCCTAATAGAACAAATAAATCGTAATGTACTTTTATTGCCACTAAAAATTGACCGTGACAAGTCCATTTGTTGGACAGTGGAGTTTACCGAACAAATTTATTGTCAGCAGCGATATACTGCTTGTAAGCTTTTATTATTGTTTAAAAATTCATTACTGTTGATTGTTCTTCATTCCAGCGGAAATATTTCAGTAATGTAAATATTTGATATTATCCTTTATTTACTTACGCCTTCGATAGAATTCATTAATTAAAAAAAAAAAAAAAGTTATATATAAATGTCATTAATACTAAATGATTTAAATACACCGTTTCCTCTGTGTGTATATTGTTTTTCATTATAATATTTAATTACCACCAAAACGACCTAATTATTTTCGAGCCGGTGCAATGAAATATACAATAAACTTTTTATTGCCTCGTCATGACAATAATATTGTTTTGTTGTAGTATTTGAAACAATTAATCATATAATTGAAAATTTATTGATTTTTGGCAATAAAAAAATTTAAGTAACTGTTGAGTCATGGATATTTACGAAACTGGGTCTTTTACCTTTTTATTAGTTATTAATTATTAATTATTAGGTGTTAACATTAATTAGTTTAATACCCAATAAATTTATAGATACATTATTTTTTTTTTTTATAACAAATCACACAGAAACTCTGAAGCGTGTTCTACGCGAATACCACACTAGGATCTGTGAGTTGGAGGATAAGAAATTCGACATCGAGTATATTGTCAAGAAGAAAGATTTCGAGGTATATTTACACAAAACAAAACCCAGCAAAACTTACGCGTGGAAAGCAAAAACAAAAAAACTTTTCTGTCATTTACATCTTTTGTAACCGATTCCAGACTGTACGCTTCTTAGTTTGTTTATTTTTTTTTTCTTTAACTACAATACTGAAATTTCTAAAGTTTTTATTTTTCTTACTCGCGGGATTATAAAACCGTGTGCTATATTGTTGAAAAAAGTCTGTGGATATAAAAAAGTTTTGGTAGAAAAACTTTCTTGATCCCCCACTGGCATTCTAGTCCTTCAGTGTCTTTTATTTATTTATTATTTTTATTCGATCTTTAAAACCTGTGGGCTTTACTGGCCCACATATTAACAGCACGATTTTTTAATCCTCAAGAATTTTTTTACTTATCTCCTTTGTTTTCTTATATTCTATATTCCATAGACTCAACTCTCGTATAATCGTAAAATAAAATTTCGCATTTCAGCTGTGTTCGCTAACTTTTTTCTACGCTGGATAAAATAAATAATTCTCAATATTATAATTTATAATTTAATAACGTAACTTTTTTTTTTCTAAAAAATGTAAACGTGAACATTTTAAAATATATTTTTATTTTTTATAGATCTCCGATTTGAACAGCCAAGTTAATGATCTCCGAGGAAAATTGTAAGTATATAAATTAAAAAATTTTAAAAAGAAATATTACTAAATAAAATATTAATATCAGAGTCATATTTTATTATTAAATAATAAATTTTAATTTACAGCATGAAGCCGACTTTGAAAAAAGTATCCAAGTACGAAAGCAAATTCGCTAAGCTACAAAAGAAAGCAGCTGAATTCAACTTCCGCAATCAACTAAAGCAAGTGAAGAAAAAAGAATTCACCTTGGAAGAAGAAGATAAAGAGGTAAATTATTATTATTATTTTTTAATAATTATTTTTCTCCAATTATTATTTTTTTTTCTTACTTTATTTTAAATTTCTTTACTCTTTTTTTTCCTACAAATAAATGAGACCCGTAACTGTTAATGATCAATCTATTGAGCTATTTCTCGTTGTTCTTGATAGCCCAAGAAATCCGAGAAAGCTGAATGGCAGACCAAGAAGTAGCTGGATGTCACATGAGAAAGGAGACTTGATACTTAATTGATTTATAAATAATACATTATTCAATAATAATAAGAAAAAATATTTTAAAAATAATCACGAGCCCGTTGATATTTTTTTTTTACTTCACGAGGTACAAACGTTAGAACACCCGCTGATGAAAAAATTCATTTGTTACTAAAGTATTTTTTTTCAGATTCGAGTATAATTGGCATGCAATTATTTTTAAATTTAACACTACTCTGTCAAAAAAAAAAAAAAAAAAAAAACAAATACAAGCTTACACTGTCAATTCTTCACTGTAAATATATTTCTTCGCTATAAACTTTTTACTTCTTAAATTTATTCGAACCTCTCAGTTTGAAATTCTATGAACATCTAAATCTAAAATCTGTTAGCATATCACTTTATCTTTCAAACTAAATTTAACAGCAATAAACAAAAACTACTAAATGCATTTACCTAAGGTAAGAAGCAATAAAAATAAATAAGTTAACAACCTTCTCCTGACCTTAAGGACTAATTAATAATTTTTTTTTGCTTAATTTTACTACATAAATGTCAACTAAAACTCACTTTTCGCAATAATGCAACTAATTACTTACTTTTATTTTAAGTAGTTTAGTTTAGTAAGCAGCTTTCCCCAATTTAAAAAAATAATATTGTCCCAGTAAATAATAAAAATTAAATTGAAATTACAGGAAAAACCTGAGTGGGTGGAGAAGAGAATAAAAGAAGATGAAGTCGAGGCATAATCTTCCCGTTTCTAACTAAACTGGGCCTGCCGAATATTTATCAATCATATCTGGTCAACGATGGCTTTTAACTTTTAAATTTAACTGTCAAACTTTATTATATATTTTCATGTTAATATTAATAAATATAATATTTATTTACCTCATACTATATTCTATGATATAATTATACTCTTGATTACATGAATAAATAATATAAAAAAATAAACTCACATTTCGATGCTCCTTTTCCTGTTGATCAAGCTCACCCATGACGTCATTGGCTTAATGAGTAATTACTGCTTTTTAAAAAATCACTGACTAAGATTAGATATTTTATTTGTATAAATTTCCGGATATTAGTGCTCTAAATATTATTATTATTATTATTATTATTATGAAATTCCACGCGATCGTTTAAACTGGCCGAGTTAATCAACAAACTGCAAAAAAACAATATGTAATTTTTTAAATAAGGAATTAGTCAGAAACAATTTAATAAATGTCATTAAAAAGGTCAGCATAATAAAATTACCTTCATCTATTTTTTTATTCAACACTGTGCCGGAATTACATTAAAAAGTTAGCCGTCACTTGACAATTTTTTTTAACAAAAAAATTTGTTCGAAAAAATTATTTTAAAAAAATTGCATTTTTAATTTCTACATGGCAATTTTTTTCGTGTAATAATTTATTTGTTAGAAAAATTAAAAAAATCATCAAATAATTGCTAAATTAATTTTCATTTTTTTTTGCCACCATTTAATTGTTACAAACTTCTTAAAATTATCAAATATCTCCTAAAGTAATTTTAATTGTGCCATAAACCATAAAAAAAAATAAATAAATACTAAGTAAAATAATTTTGAGTTGAAATTAAAACAAGTGACTTAATATCATTGATAGAAAAAAAAAATAAAAAAGTAGATTGAAAAAAGTAACAATCTTGAGAATTAAAGAAAATCTATTGGCTTTAACTACATATTCACTTAATTGATAATGTTGGTCAGTTCATAAAATAAATATATTTAATCGAATTCGCAAATTTGTTTACTTAGTAGCTTAATTTTTCTTATAGAACGGTTGACGTGAGAACGCGAAATGAGTAAGGAGTGGGGAGTAGAGTATAGTTTTAGCGGGAACAAAGGAGGTCGCGTCTCTTGTAACTCATTCGTTATGAAGTTCTCAAAACTGCCACCACTGGCGCTAGCGACGATTTCCATGAAGCGAACAAGTTGTGGTGGTATGTACTGACATATTTACGGTTCTGCGCATCGACATTAAATTCAGATTTAAAAAAAAAATTTAGTGTTACAATAAATGAAATTAATTTATATTAAAATTAAATTCTTATCTCTACACAAATAATTTTTTTTTGTTGTTTGATTTAGAATGTATAAATGAAAAGTCATATTTCATAAATGTTCTTTATTTAATAATTGTTAAATTTGCCAAATTTTAATGAATACGAAAACAATAACTTAAATTATTTGTTTGTCACTTATAATAAATCTATATATCTACAATGTAAAACAGAAAAAAGTTGTGTAATGTTTTAAAATAAATATATATTTAAATAATACTATTGAAAAATTATTAAAAATACCCGCGACTAATATTCATTCATAATTTTTTTTTTCATCTCATACCTATTTATGGCAGTATTGAAATTAGAGATTAATCATAAATATTATTATTATGAATAAAAGTCATATAAAATTACTAACTAAATAAATAGAAACAATTAACGAGTAAATTATGGCAAAAAATAAAATAACAAAAATTTAGAAAATATGGTTGTGATTCATGAGAATCTTCATCAGAACTTATTTCTGATACTTCTGAATGTATCCTTTTAACAAGAAATGTTTTTCTTCGTCAAATATAGAAAGGACCGTATGACCAGCAAAGTTTGGAATATTAGGTTTTGCCCCCGCAGTTAATAATTCTTTACATATATTTATGCCCTCGTTTTCAAATGCATGAAACAGAGCTGTTCTTCCAGATTTACCGTCACGTGCATTGACATCTGCACTTATAGCTATTAAACACATAACTCCTCTGTAATTTCCATTCCTTGCGCAGTGATGTAGAGCTGTAAAGCCTGCGAAAAAAAATTTTAATTATTATTTTATTTCAATTATTATATATTATTATTATTGTGTTTTCTTAGAATAACTTTATAGTTTTATACAAGTTTTTTTTTTTATTTTTAAGATATAAATATTATATATATGTTAGAAAGTAAAATTTTTAAACTTTTTTTAAATAGGTAATAATTATTAAATAAATATTAAATATCTCCAACATTTTTAACTTTTTTAACTAACATAAACATTTATAAATGTTATTTGTTGATAACACTTAATTTATCCTTTCAATTATACAAGGTAAAAGACCCAGTTATTGACACTGAACTAGTTATTGACACCTGGAGTTTTTTTTTAATTAAATAAAACAAATCGAGTCTAAAAAATTAATGAATATAATTTTTGAATTATAAATTTTAAGATAATTGGTTTTTTGACAACATTTTATTTTTTTAATTATAATTAAATTGCAAGTATCAATCAACTAGACCAGTGTCAATAACTGGGTCTTTTACCTTACTAAAAGTTATTCAAATTTTTATCAAGATTTAATTATAAAGCTACAATTAATAATTTCTTACCTTCTGAGTCAACATTATTTATCGCTGGATTGTTTGGTGATACGGATTTAACAAGTTGAGGCAAATGGTCTGACGACATTCTACTCGCGATAATCAAAGCCGAGTCGTGAGCGTTTTCAGGTGACACTGGATTGGCGCCGTTCTTCAGCAACAAACTAACTATTTCGGGCTGCGCAGAATGTTGAATCGCTAATTCAAGACTCGTCTAAAAACAATAATAAAAAGAAAAAAAATTAAACCAAGCCAATATTTAAAAAATTGTCAATCATTAATTTAATATTAACTCACCTGTTTGTCTTGAGTAGGAATATCAACAGATTCCTTGACAACTTTGAGCACCATAAGATGTCTCTTCAAAACTCGTGGATCATTTCCGAAAACCGCCTTATGAACATTGAGTAATCCATTTTCGTCGAACTTCTTTGCGTTTTTCAAATCACGATCCAATATTTTGTAAGCTTTTTCTACTACCGGATTTATTTTCAACATATTTTTAACTTGTTCAACCCTTGTCTTGTCAACCCAAACATCTTTGTCCAACATTTCATCAAGTGCTTCTTTAAAATTAGCAGTATCTGTGCAAGGTTTTCTTTTAACTTCCTTACTACCATTAATTAATTGTTTTTCAATTTCGTGAAGTCTCTCCACGCCATTACTATCTCCAGTCACGCGAATAAAATCATTTTTATCCAACAACCCAAATACATTTGTCTGCGACGACGTGTCCTTCACTGACAAATAATTATGAGGAGGTTTCTTAGGAATAAACCGCTCCATTCCAAACCCGCACTCCTCTAAAGCCCTCAGAGCTCTCATTTTAAGATCTCCGTCACTAACAGTGCTAAGTGCTTCCCCAACAACATTCAGCTTATCGGATAATTCTTCATCCGTTAAGTCTTCGCGCAAATATGGTGACCTGTAGCTCTCCATTGGAGATCCACTTTTTCTGGGATTCCCATCTTTCTTTAATTTATTACTACTACTATTCGTACTTTTGTTATTCCCCCTTCTTATCAGATTTACTCTGCCCTGTGAATTAACCAACGGAACAGACTGTGGAGTATTTTTAACATTCACTTCAGCCTCAGCCTGCTCTTGATCCAACAAATCATCATTTTGAAAAACATAAACAGTATTTCCGTCTAAATTACTACTATCGTCAAGATTTATAATTCCATTAGAATCATCAATAATATTTATCATATTTTGATCAGAAATATCTGCTGCTAATGCGTAGCCATGATCGAATCCTCTTTTATTCCCGGCGATTCGAATCAAGCGACTGCCGGGTTGTCCATTACTATTTACTTGCTTGTTTATAATATTTGATTGATTAGCATTTTTAACAGTTTTGAACGGCAAATTTTTTCCTCTATTTAGCAGAGACGTACCTCTACGCAATAAAGCTGGTTTTTGTCCATTTAAATTATTATCATCAGTAATATTCGCACTTTTATTTTGTACGTTTCTTAAAACCGTTCTTTCAGGTTCTTTTTTTAGCACTCGCCAGCCTCGTCCCTGTTGCATAACAATTCCATTTGATTCACCCTCGCCATAGCTACTACCAGTAAGATCAATGCTGTCGTCATTCGACACAACAATATTATTATCATCAAGCTGATAAATTGAATTGGTAACATTAGATCTTGATGGCATATTAACGCGAGAATTAAAATCTGATAATAATTTAACACCTCTCAAGTGCGGCGGGATTATATATTTTACCGCTGAATTCGGATTTTTATTGAGTGATTTATAAATATCCTGTGATGATGCGAGCATTGAGGGTTTAATGTCGCTTGTTCCAGTAGCTGTGGTCACTAAAGTGTCTCCTTTGGTAATTATATTTACAGGCTGGTCTGATCTAATCAATGGCTTCGCTAATGAGAATGATATTGTTTTGCCATTCAGGGAAGTCACTGGTGTATTTTGTGGCATTATTTTCATGTCAAGCTCTCGGCCATCCTTGGTTTTTATTTTAAACTTCGCAAGCTTCATTGATTTTTGTGTCGCTCCTGCTGGAGCTTTAGCTTCACTGCTACTATCATTCCCCTTAGCCATACTAGGATATGCCTGAGGTAGCGCAAATTCACGAACACATTCAGTCAGTGAAAGATTGGGTGCAGGTTGGCCTGATGATGACGATGATCTTGCTCGTTTTCTTGGTATTGCTGATTCAGACTCCATTTTTTAATATTAACCACCGAAATTTCTTCTTTTAAAAACGGGCTTTTTTTATTTCTTTCAGAGAAAAATTTATTCCATTGATAATTCTGGAATAATAATTTTAAATTAATTTAATCTTAATTAATTAATTTTAAATTAGTTCTATTACTACATAATTTAATTAATACAGTTAAATAGAACGTATAAATATAATAATTAAACGCAATAATGATAAGATATTATTACCGTCAATGATATGAATAATTTTTTAACCAACGAGTGTATGCAAGACGGGAGATCCCTGGTTTTTATGGTTACACTATAACCGTTGGCGCTTCCACAGATGTGTACGGTGATTATATTTGTATAATTACATACAAATTTTTAAATAACAGCTGAAACAATTGAAATTTATTAAATTAAAAATAAATTACTTGTCGTAAAATTGATAAATAGAAAATGATATAAATACCTAATAATATTAATAAAATAAATTTCAGTGATTTGCGTTGGTATAAAAATTCTCTATTTACTACAAACATCAACCACTGGTTATTCCGCGTTAAGACTGTACACACATAAGTACTACTGATCCCCAACATGTGATGAGAATAAGCAGTAAATCCTGTGAATGCATAACTTGAACTTTTCTATTGGCTGCATTGTTGGGGAAATCTCGACAGAACTACCCTGATAGCCATCCAATTGTAAAAGTTAACGTTAAGTTGCAGTCCAACTTTTTTATACAATCTAGGGCCGAAATTTGACTTTAACTTTTATCAAAATGTTTTAGTAAAAGTCTTAATGTGAAGTTTTAGTGAAGTTGGACAAAATGAATGCAAACACTCATTGATATGGCAGTTTATCAGAATTTGTCTCTTTTTTACATCGGTAGGTAATTTATCGGTAAAAAAAACGAAGCACAGTAAAAATTTTTAACTACTGCCGTGACAAAAAAATTAATATTTTATTGTTAAACCGGGGACTCGAACCCGAATCGCCTGGTTCCTAGCCTAGCTCACTATCAGATGAGCTATCTTCGACTCATATCATCGACGCGCTTTCAGTCACTTATATCTGATACAATATTTTTATAATGTAAAATTGTATTTGCAATTATGAATATAAAGTGAGTGAATTGAATTAATTTAATAGTTTTTTGTTTTTAGCTATGACATTGAAGTTAGCAATCACTTGACTATTTTGTAATTTTTTTTTAACAAATAAATTAATTCCTTTCTTGAATATAGAAATATTCTGAAATCTTTGATAAATTTATTTACAAAGCATTAAACTTTTTTTTTATCGTCCTATTATTTTTTATTAATTTTTTATAAGACTTCTTACGAAAAATAAGGAATCACTTAAGTGATTGACAATTAACCTGCAAAAAACTTTTTTAAATCATGGTTTGCTAATCAACTTAAAGGTCCGAATAAATATAACTTAAAGTAACATTAATTTTTCTATGAATTTTATAGTAATTTTTTTTTTAAATATCATTCTAACTTAACAATAACTTTTTTATAGATAAAAATGTATGAAAATTAAATTAGCCGACATCTGAAAATTTTTATAATTATTTTTATTAAAAAAATTGTTACTATAAAATAAAAAGATAAAATTTCACATGTAGGAAATTTGAAAAATTATGAATGCAATTTTTTTTAATTATTTTTTTACTTGCAATTTGATTGTTAAAAAAAATAGAAAAATTTTTAAACGTCGGCTAACATTAGTATCATATTAAAAGTTTGTTAAAACTTGGATTGAAATTGCGGCAGTAGATTAATTAACGTCAAGTTACTATACAACTTCAACACAAATTGTATATAACTTTTACTGTACAAGTTTTGGAGTGAACTTAACGTTAACTTTGACTAAACTTGCTATACTAAAAGTATTTTTATAGTAAGTGTGGCTATCAGGGTACATCTTGTGGTCGATTTTCGACATAGTTAGCTGTAGTGGCAATTTATTCCCGCTAGTTGCGCTACTTTTATTATCGAGTTTAAATTTATTTATTTATTTAAACGCCAATTGGCTTTAGACATTAGGTTTACATTAAGTAAATTTAGTTTTAGGTGAAAAAAGAAAATGAAAAGAAAGCATTAACTTTTCATTAGAATTTAATTAAATTAAATCAATTTCATTTACTTTATAAGATTAAATTATTAGTATTTAAAGAATTATTCATAATTTAAATTCAAGGAATATAATTCTCTGCTATTTTTTATTAAAGAAGAAATGGTTTCTTCCCACATATATAAAATCATTGAAGTTCTACATCCTGGAAATTTATTTAATAATTAACTTTACTGTCATACAAATCGATAATTTATTAAAATTAAATTTAATATCAATTAACTAATAATTTACTTTTTTACATATGTTGGAGCATAACTTAACTTCCCTCAGTAAGATTATATTCTTGAAAAATAATCTTTGGAATGTACGCAATTCCTTGGAGACATTTGTTATCTCCAACAGTTATTTTTACTTCATTGTCTGAGCACCAGCACGTTATCCACTGCAAAATAAAATTTTTAAATGAAAAATTAAAAAAATATAAATTTTAGAGCCAGATTACAATCCTAATTACCTCCTTAAAATTGATAGATCACTATAATTGTATACATTTTTGAAGACAACAAATTTGTGATTATTTAGTGACATCACTTTACTTCTCCGAAACTTGGTACAGTAATAAATTTTTAAATTGTTCACGTGTAATATGTTTCTCAGTGACTTTACTTGGGTCAAGACTAGCCAACCAAGCTGCTAGAACGTGCTTACATGTCTGGTCTGATTGATCCCTGAGCACTTGGTATCTATGATACAATAAATAGATTTATTAATATGATGAAAGTATCAAGTTATTATTTTGTAATTGAAGTAATACTTGAAAGCGGCACATGGACAGTAGTTTACGTTGGGAAATAAAATATAAGCTTCACCGGATAATCCTTGTACTTCAAGCAACCATCTACTGGAATTTATTTCCTTCCAAACACCTTGAGCGTTTGCATCAAAGGCTATTATTTTACTTATTTTACTTGATTCATATAAGCTTAACGCTCTGTCAAAAACCTCACCAAATGCTGAGTAAAGACTGACAAGTGATAAATCTGTAACTAAAAATTAATTCAGCAGATGATTAATAATTTTAAGTATTTTTGTAACAAATAAATTATAGAAAAAAAATTATAAAAAAAAATTGACATCTAGAAATTTTAAACAATTAAAAATGCAATTTTTAGAAAATAATTTTTTAGAATAAATTTATTTTAAAAAAAAATTAAAAATTATTTCTATAATAAATAAGTATAAAATATGAAATATTTACATTTTTGTTCTTTTTTAAAATCATCAGCTAATTTATTAAGTACATGTCGCGAAATTCCTTTTTGTTTGACAATCAAACTATCAGCTGTTGGATTAGATCCTGATGTTCCAGGTATTGAGCTCATTGATTAATTTTATAAAATTATTTAATTGAGTATTTTTTATGAATTTTTTGTAATTTTTAAAGGCAATATCACGTGTGTAAACAATAACATAAAACACAACCTCTCTTAATACTATTATTATTATTATTATAACTGTGAAGTTGCCGCGAATTTCAAACCTAGATAAGATACCTTCATGTTTGTGGTGGTATCAAAAATTCAAAAATGGCGGGATTGTTACCATAAGGATTCTATTTAATGTTACCGACAGATCACAAAAAAACAAGAGACAAAAGTGTGTTGGTGCGTTGGTGCATGTTACGTTTAAACAGTCACGAGACACAAGACAGTTGATGTTGATCATCATTTTATATACTTGCATTTGTAGATAGTGCAGTGAAAAATTAATTTTAGACTTGAATTACAGTACCTGAATATATTTAATACAGTAATTAAAAAATCATTGCTTAAAAATGACTGAACCAACACCAGAGGCAAGTTCATCTGGTAGTAGTAGTGTTTTTAAAATATTACTTGCCACAGATTGTCATTTGGGTTATGAAGAACGCAGTTCTAAAAAAAGTATTATCTCTATTTATTATTTATTTATGATAACAATGAAAATCCCAGACATTTGATGATTATTTTATTTTTTTTAAACTGATTAATTATTTTAAAAAATTCTTATGTCTGGTTCAGTGTTTATCTACTTGGTACACTAATTATTTATTAATTAATTTTTCAGCCGATAGACAAGACAGTTTTATTACATTTGAAGAAATCCTACAAATTGCAGTAGCCAAAAGAGTCGACTTTATTTTACTTGGTGGCGATTTATTTCATGACAGCACACCATCGCAGAATGTCGTTTTGAGATGTATTAATTTATTACGAAAATATTGTTTCGGTGATCGGTAAATATATATTTTTATACTTTTACAAAAAATTGATTTACTATAATTATTAATTTTTAATTTTAATTATTGCTTCATTGTTTCAGAAAAATAAAATTCCAATTTTTGAGTGATCCATCAGAAGTACTGTCAAATATCACACAAGAACTTAATTTTGAAAATGAAAATTTGAATATTGGTTTACCAATTTTCACAATTCATGGCAACCATGATAACCCGAGTAAATTTTTTTTTTTGACAATAATAATATTAATTAAATATATATTTTTTTTAAATTCTTATTTGACCCATGTTTTTACAGGTTTCGAGTATACAAGCACGTTGGACATACTCGCAGCATCAGGAGTGATTAATTATTTTGGTAAAGTATCAGATTTGACTCAAATAACTATTTCACCTATGATACTGAAAAAAGGTGATAGTTATATTGCTATTTATGGCTTGAGTTACATCGGAGACCAGAGATTATCAAGATTACTTAAGAATGATATGGTATAAATTATCAACCCTGTTTAAAAATATTGATTGGAAAAAATTAAAAATGAAATTCGAATTCTTTTCAATTCTTTTGCTTGTATATATAGATATACAGTTTGCATGGAGTGACCGCTTCTCAATTCTTTTCAATCAGTATTCTTAACCAGGGAATCGTCAAATGAGAGTTATCAATTAATTTTTGTCCCTTAATTAAAATCTTGATTCAAATTTTTTAGGTAAAATTTTTACGTCCTGAAAACATTGAAAACTGTTTCAATATCTTGGTATTACATCAAAATCGCGCTGCACACACTCGCCATGGAAGTATACCTGAAGATAAATTGCCATCCTTTTTTGATTTAATTTTCTGGGGTCACGAACACGAGTGTCGTATTGTACCTGAACTAATATCGTTACCTGACGATGAAAAGTATTATATCACACAACCAGGTAATAAAATTTATTTAAAAACAAAATCAAATATCACAAATGATAATTATGAAACTAATTTTTACAGGGAGTTCGGTTGCAACGTCCATGGCGATAGGCGAATCTAAGCCAAAGCATGTGGGAGTTTTAAAAATTCAAGATGGTCGTTTTTTGATTGATGCTATAAAATTACAAACAGTAAGACCTTTGGTCTTCGACACAATCGATCTTACAGAGATTATCAACAAAGGGTATTGCGATGATTCAACCACAGGTGTATTAGAATACGTTGATGATTATATTGCGAATACGATGCTTCCTCAAGTCGAACAACTCATTACTGAGAACCCTAATCAGCCAAAAATACCCTTTCTCAGATTAAAAGTTGTTTACAAAGAAGAAATACATATGTTTGATTCTATGTTGTAGGTATTTTTTATTATTGTTAAATTTACTTTTATTAACTTCAAGTACTTTTTTAGGATTACGCGCAAGTATGCTGATAGAGTTGCTAATGCTAAAGACTTGATATTATTTAGACGCGATAAAAGAGGCCTCAAGCTTGACTCTTTAGACTTTGATGACAATGAGGCTGCTGCTGATTTAGCAGAGTGTTTTCAACACGAGGTATTTTTATATAAAGTTCAATTATTAAAATTATCATTTTTATTCAAACCAGCAACTTTGTAGTCACTATGTTACTGCCGTGACTTGTGAACTATAAATAAATAAAATTTTGCTTTGTTAGATAATTACTTTTGTTAAATTGCACTGTATTTTTTTTAACTATTCACGTTTTTAAAGATATAAGCTCATCCCGATGTTACTCATCCAGAGCTTTCATTGGAGTACTCACATGCATTTTAATATATTTTTCATATATGCATATATATAATACATATAAATATAAGAAAAATTGATGTGGGTATTCAAATGAAGGGTCTTGATGAGTGTAATGTCGGGGTGAGCTTATATCTTTAAAAACGTCAATAGTTCACAAAATACAAGGTCATTTCTTAATTATTGATATTTTTAAAGATATAAGCTCATCCCGATGTTACGCTCATCAAGAGCTTTCATTCGTACTCACATATATATATATATATATATAATATATAAATATATAAAATATATGACAAATTGATGTGGGTACTCAAATGAAAGGTCTCGATGAGTTTAATATGTTAGATTACTCATTAGTAAATTTTATTTATTTTCAGACTGATAAAGACTGGTCACTGGCTATTCAAAAAGAAGTGGAAAATAGTTTAAAAAGAAATAATGCTGAGCTAAATATACTTTCATTGCTGGGGATGAATGAAGCACTAGATAGATGCATAAAAGCCAATGATAATAACTCTTTTTTTAGTATCTTCAAGTAACTATCAATTCAATTCTTTCTAAATTATGAAATAAATTTTTTTTTATCATTTATAAAAATATTTATTGCAGTTATCAAGTAAAGAAGACATTAGACCACTTTGAGACTCGTGACATAAAGTTGAATCGCGCTGAATACGAAGAAGAATTAAGAATCTTCCGAGAAGAACGTGCTAAAAATTCAACTGATGAAATAAATCAAGTTAAAGGAATGTTGGACAACAAAGAAGAACGTCAAAGACTTAATGGAAGCATCGCCGTGCCATCGGACCTGATGGACGTACCAGATTTAGAAAACGCGGATGACCCTATGCCAGTGCCTACTCGTGGTCGTGGACGTGCAAGAGCATCAAGAGCTAGAGCAGGAACACGCGGTGCAGCTCGTGGTGGCAGAGGACGAGCTGCTGCTCCTGCTGCGTCTCCAGCTAGAAGTCCTCTGACGATAAGTACTCAGGCTAGAAACAACCAGGTACTAATCTTATCCAATAATCCCTTCAATTATTTTTAAATTTATTTAAATAATTTGTACTAATAATTTTTAGACATCAAACAATGGTAATGATCGTTTCTTTCAACCAACTCAACCAAGTCAACTAATGACATCAACTCAACGACCAAGTGCTCGTAAACCAACTCAGTTCTACAACAGCGATTCTGATTAATCAAAATAAGATTTATTGTTAAAAAATACTTTTCTATTGCTACCTCAATTACATTAATGGAAGATAATTTTTCACGTTAGAGTATTTTTTTATTAAAAATTAATTATAAAGTTTTTTTTTTTAATAAATAAATAATTTTTGATAACAATTTTATTACCAATTTTCAACAATATATTTATTAATATCAATATAATATAAACTAACGATAAAACTATACTGCAGCTCCAATTTCACTTAGAATCTCAGATAACCTTTCTAATTGTTTACTTATTGAAGAGTGTTGTGCCTGACTTCTAGCAATTAATTGAAAAGCATTTATATACTCTAGCTCAGAAAATTGTGGTCCATTTTCAAGTATATTATTCAAAATATCTTCAGGTGTTTCATAAAAAAGTTCAAAGTATTGTCTTGCATAATCCAGCGCCAGTTCGCGGGCCATAGTTATATTAGTAAGTGTCTGTTGGAGTGTAAAAACATTTCTACACATACGTTGGATCCCACTTTTGTCTATTTTATCAATATACTGCGCGGAAGTTATTAATATTTTAGTTATCAAATGTCCAAGGCCTTCAAAAATATATTTTGTCTTTTTGGGGTGCAAAGTAGACTGCAGTGACTCGTCAATGTTCTGCAAAACACGACTGAGCTCTTGTACACGCGGATCTGCTTCTTGGGGATCCTGAACACCATCACACAGATGACTGTACTCGCCACGAGGTAATAAGTAATGGAAACACTGTACTCTTACTTCCAGATGCAGCAGAAGAATACATGTATTAGCAAGTTCTTCAAACTCAACAGCGACTTGCTCGAGCAGTTCAACAAGCGAATCAGAAACACGTGGTAACAATGTTTGGTTGTCATTGCTGTTTTTAGATTGTTGTAACTCAGCAGTGAGTAAGCGTATTGACAAAGCAAACCACTCGACACTTTCTTGCAAAAGTGCCAAGCAACGAAGCTGACCAACGTCAGATAGAATTTCGCTTGAATTAATTCCACCCTCGCCCAAATTGCTCGCCAGAATTTCAGCTTCTCGCAAATTGCGTTGTCTTACATCTTCAGGACTTTCTTCTTCCTGAGTCTCCTGGCGGCGCATTGACCACCCACGGGTTATCTTCCCACGCTTATCGCTTGTAGTTTCACTCTTCATATTGTCCCAGTTAGGCAGTGATTTTATAAACCTGCTGATGTCGTCGTCTTTCAACCAAGCCGCTGAACAGATTTTTCTATCCTCATTCCCCGATTGTATTATATTGCGGTACGCTGATTGGCAAGTCTCCCGATAATTGTGGAGAATGTTAAGCGCCAGAGTACAAAAATGCTCGCCCTGAAGGGGCAGAGCTATCATCAGTGATCTCAACTCAGCTATACACTGCTCGACTTTTACTGTTGATTGTAACAGTGGTCGTGCTAATCCCAAGTCTTTCATAACTTCTGGTGGTGTTATGGTTTGCCAAGCGTCCGATGCTTTTGTTGCAGCATCGATTGTTGTTGCTACCATTATGTGATGTCTTCCCAGAAATTCTTCCTTTATGTAGTCAGCTATAAAACTATTTAGTGTACAAGAATTACCAGGTTGGATTTCTAATGCGCGTTCTATTTCTTCGATAAATTGCATCATAGGACGGAATATAAATGTTATATTTTTAGGGTCTGGTTCACATACTAGCCGTTTTGATATTTTTAATGATGCATTGTCCTGAAAAAATGATTTATTATTGTTAATTTTTAGTTAAAAACTTCGTCAACGAATTTTTGACTTAACAATATGTTCAAAATTTGCAAGTAGACTAAAAAAAAATTAAGAAAATACTTGATTTGCAGGAAAATAACTTAGAGAGAAAATATACATTACAACCAAGAATATAAGAAGCATTGAAAATTCTTATAGGAATTTAGATTTAATTGCTATAAGCTTGGACAGTTCGGAGAACAACGTCTTTATATTTTACTAACTTCGACTTATAGAGTTTCACTTTTAAAATTCGAGTTATAGAGTATAAATATCCTTTATCGATGCGGAAAGGGAAACGATACTAAGCTCGAGTAACAGAGTCTAAGTAATTCGAGATATCGCGTATTTAAGAGTTCAGCGGAAGGGAACACAACGACGGTCTAATTAGCAATCGGTCTAACTCCTAATTTTTTAGAGGGTAATTTTTTAACATTTTGATGTAGCAATAGTCCAATTATAAATCATTTGAATGATCCAAGCCAAAATATTATACCTCTATTAAATATTAAATTGTTTTTTAACGTGATAATAAATTTTGAACTAATTGTTTTTTCGTACAAATAGATGATTCTCTAAAATGGAGTTAGACACTTTGCTAATGAGAATGTCGACAAATTTTTTTCGAGTTACTGAAAATTTCAACTTAACAAGGTTCGAGTTACCGAGATTCCACTGTAAATGTAAAATGGTAACAGTTTTGTAAAACACTAAATATTGTGATACAAATAAAATTCTATTCTATTTTATCAATTTTGAGTGATCTATCAATGATAAATAAAAAAAATATACTTACTATAAAGCTAGCATTGCTGAGTTTCTGATCCTTCAGATACGTATTTAGTGTTTTAGGATGTAAAGAAAAGTCAAATTTAAACAAAGATCCATTTTTTTGTCTCTGAGGTTTACGTTTTGCGAAGTAAGCATTAATATCAACAGACGATTCGGAAAAATTAGTCGGTTGAAATGGTCGATCCACAACATTCTGTATATCAAGATACTCTGTCAGTAATAATTGTAAGACTGCTTGTATTTTACTCCAAACATCAGGCATCTCATACAATCGTACATCGACATTGTACTTTTTGGAAACATGAGAGAAACTTCTTAACGCCATCGAATGGGCATTAGCAATCATTCTAAACTGATCAAAAATAGTCTGGAGTAACTCGAGTAACGCCGACTGACCATTATTCTCTTCCCCGTCTGCGTGATTGATGATACGTACGCCACTGACATCGGATTTAGGCATCATCTTATCAGCATTAGCTTTTATTGAATCCGAAGTACGCGCAATTATATTCAATAATTCATTTTGCATATTACTCTTGATCGCTTCGACTGCATCGGGAATATTATTCAACAATGCCAGACATTCAATGATAATCGCAATAAAATGTTCAGAATTTTCTTCTGGATTCAATGAATTTTCATCCTCAATTATGTTTGTCAAGTCTTCTTGCTGAGCATTAAGTCCCCGAGCCAACTGACTGCTAGGATAGCTGACGTCCAACAACGCGCGTTTTACTTTATTGCCTCTAGATCCGCGAGCCTCACTACTACGCTGAAAATCGCGACCAGATCCTTGTCTTTTTAACAAAACCTCCCTGGTAGTTTCGACGTACAAGTGTCTCGTCAATTCCTCGAGCAATTTAGACTGAAGCTGCTGCTTCTTTGCCTCCAATTCTGTCTTGACTTCTCTCAGCGCTTCAACTCCTTCTAAATTACCATCACCCATTGACAATGCGGATACTAGCAGCTGGGTCGCATGGAGGTACAATTTTTTGTTCAAATAATTGCTCAATTTAGCCGGTACTTCTTTCAACTGATCAATATCATTCAGTAATTGCAGTACATGTTTGTGCTCAATGCCTTCCAGCCATAACTTCATCAATTCTTCACGTCTGCATCTCAGTAATTGTTTACAAGCATTCAGGTTTTCTTTCACTGTGTGAATTTTTTCTCGTGATGATGTAACTCTTTCAGATAAGTTACTGAATATCTGTTTGAATAAAATTATTTAATTAATTTATTTTGTTTAAAAAAATTAATAATTATTTTATCAAAAGTTAAAATTTTCAGCTTTTTATTTCTTATAAAAATAACCATGAAATAAGTTTACAAGTGATTGGGTAATAATTAAATTATTGATTTAAAATTTCACTAAATTTTTTAATTAAATTTGATATTTTTTTTTCTTAATTGAAAAATTATTACAAACAAATAAAGAAAAATTTTAATTTGTAATAAAATATGAAAATCAATGTAACATATATTTAATAATTTTAAAAATTTTATAACAAATAAATTATGGTAAAAAAAATTGACATCTAGAAATTGAAAAAAAAAAAAATGAAAAATGCAATTTTTTAAAAATAATTTTTTGGAAAAAATCTTTTTGTTAAATAAAATTAAAAAATTGTCAAGTGACTGCTAACTTGAATGTCATAAAAAACTTAAAAAACTATAACTGCAATTTTTAAAAAATATTTTTTAGTCATAATTCAATAAATAAAAATCAAGTTAGCCGACATCTACAAATTTTTAGAATTTTTTGTTATTAAAAAAATTGTTACCAAATAATAAAAAAAAATTTTTTCATGTGTAAAAAACTTGAAAAACTGTAAGTGCAATTAAAAAAAAATTTTTTTTAGTTTTAATTTAATGATTAAAAAAAAATTAAAAACGTCGGCTAACTTTAGTGTTATCTTTAATAAATGAAAAAAAAATAAAAAAATTAAAAATCTCGACTAACTTTAGTGATAAATAAATTACATACTTTCATAACTTCAGTAAGATCTTGATCATGCAATGAAACCAGTTCATCAAGCTTTTGATCACTCCGTTTGTATTCCTTTTCAAGTTTAGCTTTTTCAACTTCTCTTTGCTCATTTGTTTCACTTGCTGAAAGTGCTCGTATTACTGATATCAACAATCCACTCTGTTAAATAATTTATAATTATTAAACAACAATTATCAATAATCAATAAAAAATTTATAACCTAAATAGGTGTGAATTTATTTATAAATGTAAATAAAAATATTATAATAAAACTTACTGTTTCCTTGGTATGTTTTATACCTCGTGGAGGTTTTATCGGTGGTCCAGACATTTTATAAATATTAATTAATATTTTCTGTTATTATTGAGTAACATTTATTATTAAACGTTAAAAAAATATATCATTTATCTGATGGGAGGTTTTTTCGTAACTGTCAAAGTCAAACGCCATCTGAAATCTGAAACAGCTGACTGATGACAGCTAAATAAAAACCTTGCGCTTTTTTAACTTGGTAGTTTATAATTGTATAAATATTATTGTAAAAGATAAATTAAAATTAAGAAAGTAGGTTAAATTATTTATATAGTTTATAATAATGAATATGAATAATATAACAATATCGGCGGTACGCCCTAGAACAAGTATTATTGATAAATCATTAAGTAAAGGAAAAGGTGAGGTTAGTTTAAGTTGTTATGCTTTACTATTTTCTGAATTAGTTCAATATTGTCAAAATCGTGTTTACACCGTACCTGAATTACAAAACAAGTGAGTTCAAGTTTATTATTTAATTATTTAATAACTAATTATACGCACTCCAATTTTTTGTTTATAATAAACATTGGAATAGTTTTAATTATTAATTATAAATAGGAGTATAAGTATGATACTGAATGATAATAAATTTAGCAGATATTTTAGAATAAATTTTAGAATTTTTTTTTTCAATAAATTATGGAAAAAAAAAATTGACATGTAGAAATTTTAAAAAATAAAAAATACAATTTTTTAAAAGTAATTTATTTGGACAAATTTGTTTGTTAAAAAATTCCCTAGTGACTGCTAATTTTAATGCCATTGATACTGAAGTTAGTCGTCAGCTGTCAATTTTAAAAATCTTTTTAACAAATCAATTACAATAAAAAAATGCTTCTAAAAATTTTCATTAATTTTTACATGTGGAATTTTTTAATTAAATTTTTTTTTATAGTAATTTAATTGCTATAAAATTCTAAAAAAATTTCTAATGTCTGTCAACTTCAGTTTCATGTATAAGTGATTTTATTTTGTAATTAAAAATGTTAATTGTTTAAATATTTTAGATTAGCAGAAGTTGGAGCAGATGTTGGTCACCGAGTTACAGATTTATTGATAATGCGAGATAAAAATGGGAAGCGTGAAATAAAATTACTCAACATATTGCTTTTCGTTAAAAGTACGCTGTGGAAGTCGCTGTTTGGACGTGAAGCTGATAAGTTGGAGCATGCTAATGACGATGAAAGGACTTACTACATCATCGAGAAGGAATCGTTGGTTAACAAATATGTATCGGTGCCTAAAGATAAAGGTAGCTTGAACTGCGCGTCATTTGTTGCTGGTATTGTTGAAGCTGTATTATGTGATTCTGGTTTTGTAAGTAAAAAGGAATTTTCTCTGAGTGTTCAAATAAAAATTTAATATTTCCAGCTACTAAGGTAAAAGACCCAGTTATTGACTGTTCTGTAAATGTTCTCAAAAAACCAATTTATAATTCAAAAATTATATTTATTGATTTATTAGAATCAATTTGTTTTATTTAATTAAAATAAAATTGCAAGTGTCAATAACTGGGTCTTTTAACTTATATTTAATTATAGGTGTTAAATTATAAAAAAATCAGTTTAATAAACATCTGACAATTTTTTCTAATTGATAAAAAAAATTAAAACAAAAATTTAATTCTAATTTAATTAATGAAAAAAATTATTTAACATATTAAATTAATTATAAAAAATTGACATCATTAATAATTGTTAAAAATTATTTCAGCCGGCAAAAGTAACAGCGCACTGGCACAAAGGAACAACGTACATGGTAAAATTCGATGATTCTGTAATAGCCCGAGATAAACAACTCGATGAGAAATAAATATATACTTTTTACCTTTAAGTGATAAACAATAATTATAATAATCTATTATTGTATATTTAAAAATTAGCAAAAGAAAATAAACAATAATTAAATTTTTATGTATATAATTTTAATAGTTCTACTTTTATTTATTTTTCCCCAATTAATATTATATATATATATATATATATGTACTCCTACAAAAACATAGCTTAATTACAAGCATTATCACGGTCTCGGTAGCTTACAATACCAGATCTCAACTTCGCCTCCTTCTCAACCTGTTAAAGGAAAATATAAATATATTTAGTGAAAATTTTTAAAATTAAATATATTAATATCAATTTATTATTGTTATAGGTATGTAATTCATACCCTGCGTTTTCGAATAATGTATGTAGTAAGCATTATTGGTCCGAGCATCCCTATCCAGAAGAATGCGGCGTTTTTAACAGTTGGTCTGAAAAACTCAGCTCCTCTGACTTTCATTGACATAAAGCGATTAATTGCAACATCGTCCTGTAATTATCAAAATTATTAAGTTAAATATTTTTATGATTTAGAAAATAAATAAAGTATGAAGAAAAAAAAATTTATTAAATAATATTTGTAATTTTTTTTTAAATATCTCAATTTTTCAATTCATAATTTTAAAATACAATACTAAATTTATGATTTAATTTTATAAAATAAACAATTCAATTCATTCAACTATTAATAATAATAATAGAAATTAGGTTAGCCGATATTTAAAAATTTTTAGAAATTGTTTATTAAAAAAATTTCAATTAAACAATTAAAAAAAATTTTTCACATGTAAAAAAACTTGAAAAACTATAAGTGTAATTTTTTAGAAATATTTTTTTAGTTGTCATTTAATTAATAAAAAAAATCAAAAATTTTTAGACGTCTGCTAGCTTCAGTATCATTAATAATAATCATAATACTCAAAACAGAATATTATGTAACAGAATAAAATCAATTAAAATATACACAACAAATAAATTCTAAAATTAATAATCTAGTAATTATAAATTTATAATAGTTAAATAAAAATGTTAAAATTGTTAAACAAATTAATTTAAAAATAGATAAATGTAAGGTTGGATTTGTTGACACTTACAACAATACCTCCGACACCCAAAGCATGACGATAAGGATTTTGTGTTTGTTTCAAATACTCATATCGCAATTTATTGCGCCTTGCTGCACGGTGCTCTAATATTTCTTTTTGAAGCGGAGAAATATCAAACGTTTCACGGCCAGCCATAATTATCACACGTTATTGCAATCAAATCAATTGATGTTTAATTTTATTTTTTTGTGCGAAAACCACGGAACCAAAATGAACTTTCCTTTTACTCCGTGTTTCTTAAAACGTCACACTAGCGCCCCCTAGTGAGAAATTTTGAAACTCCCGCGCAGCGCCACAAAGGAGTCTTCTTTTTAACCGCCAGATGGAACATGTCCTCCGGCCGGGACGGTCGCGCAATTTTTTCGTCCGCAAATATTTGTCAAAAATCCGATAAATAATCAATAATAATTAGTCATAATTATTTTTTAATATTTTTACAGCTTGCCAGTTGCAGTTTTTTATATATGTGGTATGTAAATTAATAATATACTAGTATACGTTGCGCGCGCAAGCGCGCGTGTGAATGTTGGTATGGAATTATCTATATTTTCATGCTTATGATATATTTGACCAATCACATTACGAATAAAATGTCTTCATCAATGTATATAATAATAATAATAATAATATTTTATTGCCAGTAAAATATTTTCATATTTTTCATCTAAATTATAAGAGTGGATGCATGCTATAATGATCGGCTTTCTTGCTTATCAATTAATCAAAATGTCGGACACTAAAGCACCGACATGGTAGTTCACATAAAAAAGTAAATAATATTTATTATGAAAATATGATCAAAGATGTCAGGATTTAACTTGAAATTAAACTCGTTCCTCCAGTGGCACTTAAACCACTTGAATAATAATAAAACGGCAAATTTAAAAATTCAACTCACGATTTATTTATTGCCGTAATTTAAACTCAGGCAATAAAACGCTAAAACTAACAGATAATACTAAAGAATTTAAAGTATTCCTCTGTAAAACTCCTACGACAACAAAATTTTATTTATAAATAACTTAAACTTTAACGTACCATCACTCAATTTCAGCTTATAATATATTTTAATACTTATGCGAATTTTATTACTATTTTAATAAATAGGCGCTGTAAAATTGACGTATCTCTTCTTAAATATACAACCAATAAATCTTTACCAAATATCAGAGTATTAAAATATCCTAACTAGTAACTTTTAATGGGCTTTAAATTAGGTCGTCAAATAATAAAAATAAAAATAATAATTAAGAAAAAAAAATTTATTGTTATTATTAATTTAATAGTACAATAATAATTACAATAATACAAGGCCTATATAAATGTTTAATGGGTGTAAAAGCCTTATAATATATACATAAGTATTTAGAACCGGGTTTAGGGGTCGCTCGGTTGCTTATTGAACCAAAAATATAATAATAATTACTCCAAGTGCTGTACCTAGCCCGACATAAAGTTTATTACCTTGCCAGTTGTGAAAGCTGTGTACTTCTCACCATTCCTTAAATTAATAGCTTATAATTAAATTCATAACAGATTTGCTATTTAATCCCATCGAATAGTTTCGTACAATTATTAACACACTGTTTTTAAATTTTTAGTTTCATTTTAACTACTGAGATAGGGAATAAGCAAGTTTATTCAAATTTTCAATCCAATCTTCATTGGGTATTATATTTATATTTATTATAAATTATAATATAAAATAGTGTTTGAATTAAAATCGAAGCGTGCAAGGTATACCTTTCATAAAACGAGCTATGAAATCCCTCCTCCCCTATTAGCTCTGTCACAACCGACCATATTTAACGCTATTTGCCACATTATTATTACCCGGTACCTCCATAATTTATTGTCAGTATCACAAACCCGCGTTACCTTCTATGCTACTTATACTATACTATAGCACACACAAACTCTGTAGATACATCTCTGTATATGTATATTCATCCCAAGCATTGCTCGGAAAATAATATATATATGTATATATCTATTTACTGATAAATCATTCGTTATCGAAAATTTGTAATAATTAATTTAATACATTTTCGTTTAATATTGTACAATCATAATTTAATATTATTCAATAATATGAGACATTGCGACGTGCTTGGGATATTTCATTCTCATATTTTTGGAATTATTAGTCTAACAAGTACAATTTAATTTATAAAACTTTAAGTTTTTCTAAATTAATTAGAACTAGTTGTTACTCGCCCGCTCCGCTGGGCGCTTTGAAGACTTACATTTTTAGATCTAGACTTGAAACTTAATTAAAGTATTGTTTTGACTTACACAGATTCTCACACTGAAAAAAAAATTTTTTTCCTCCTAGAATACTAAATTTTTTACTCGAATTTTCTTGATTTAAAAAAAACTGGTATTCTCAACCTTAAAATACCACTTTTTATTATAAGGCTAGTTTTTTGACAAATGCGGTGAGAGAACTGTATTCTTATAGTTAAAAAACTTTTGTATTTTAATTATAAGAATACCAATTTTTTATCCATAAGGAAACATTTCCTTGGTAGAAAAAAACTTTTTTTTCAGTGCAATTCTATCGAATTGACATGCACATTTTATCAATGTATAATTATTCAAGCTAATATTCATTGGAACATTCAATATAGAATTATTATGACATTCCCGTGTCTTTCTTAGAAAAATGAATAATAATTAATATGAAAAAAAAAATTTTAAATGAGCATTGTAAGTTTCAGTTAAAGAAATTTCAGGTCTCATGTATAAGTGAAGAAATCTGCCTAATATATAAACATTACCAATAGAATTAGAAAATTTATTTCAAACAAATGAAAATCGAATAGAATAAATTTAGTTATAATAAAAATTCATTATTTCTAAGTCAAAAAAATATAGGTTCCGGATAAGTAATCTCCAACGTATCATATACTAAAACCTTCTCCGAAATACGCTGCATCTTATGGTATTAGTATTATTCCGATCGGTTCAATAGTTTTCGCAGTATAACCGGACAAAATAACCGGCTCTCCATTTATTAGTATAAAGAAGAGATTTAACTACCATTAAAATTAATAGTAAGCTTTTAAAGTTAAAAGCTTCGTGTATATTACCCAAAAATAATTTATAATAAATTTACAATATCAAAATTCAATTTTACAATCGTCTTGAATTTTTGTTTGGACTAAAGAAAACATTGATGAATGTGTTCAATTTATTTCGGAAAAAAACTTCTAACAATAGATCCAAATCTGAGTAGGCTTAAATTTTCAAAAATAGATATTTTATTATTATACAAATATTCCCATTTTATCTTGAACTTTTTCTATGATAAATATCCATCATCCTCGAATCCTCACTTTATTAATTCCACCATCAATAATACAGAAAAAAAAAATAGAAGCAGCTTTTGCGTGATGAAGTAGAGGCAGCGTCTCAAATGATACCCACTGAAATTTATACAGTGTAAATGGTTTTAACGTTTTTTTAAGTAATAGCAATAACTTAAGCCAGTAATCCGCGAGACAAAAGGATCAACGACAAAAAAAAAATAGTTAAATAAACAGCGACATTCTTACATAATAAAAGGGAAATAACTGGGGTTTGTTTAATGAGCGCGAGAAAGAAGGACATAGAAAAGTTATAGACAGCCTGACGTAGATGCAGGCTCTTTACTTAGCAGCTGTAGTTTTTGGCCATTGTCATCATCACGTATTAGCTACACTAGCTCTTTCTTTCTTTCTTTCTCTCTTTTCTCTCCACTGTCATTATATCAAGCGCTATACTACTTACAATACACTAAGCTACACCAGTACATTCAGCACACAGATTGACTTCTCCCTTCTCTCCTCTCTCTCATCTCAGAGTCAGTCTTTTCACGTGCAAAGCTCACAACTATGCTGTTTGCTTTTCTATTGAGTTGAAAACGGATGAGGACGAGCAAATAACGGGTACACGGTATATGGAGCGTGTTGAATATATTTCATTCATGTCATAGCACAGTGTAGCGAAAATATATCTAAAAAACCTATCACACATGACATTACTGCTTTTGCTTTACTTGAGGGTCAACTTGGAAAAAACATTTTAACAAACATCCAATGGATGTTAGGTGTATTGAACTATGACTAATTGGTTGAACAAATTTATCAATGTATGTGTAAATATAATATATTTATATTCACATTTTTATTTTTTTATTAAATCATATTATTTATCAGGAAAAAATTTGTTGGAATTTTTGGTTTAAAATCCTTAGATATTTCATTGGTGAATTTTAGACTTAGATTTATTCAATTATGCCAAAGCTCAAATCTAATGGCAAATGATATAAAATACATACTTAATACATATTCAATATAAATATACAGGATATGACAATTTTATAAATTTATGATGTATTAAAGTAGGAAAATATAAAATAATATGACAATTAGTTAATACATTGGTAATGTAGTTTTTTGGAGTGAACAAAAGAAAATACATTAATAATAATTGATTTAATGAGTACATTGATTTAACTGATAAAGGACTTTTGCTTAGATATCGAGATTAAATAAGTGGTCAAATATTTTGTTTTTAAAAACTTCTAAACTTGAAGAATTTATTATATCTGCTGGTAATTCCTCCAATAGGCGTATTAATTGATTTAGCGTATTAATTTTAGTATTTTGATTTAGAACTTTTTTTAGAAATTGAAACAGATGATAAAACAAATTATAAAAAATATATAAAAATTATATAAAATAAATTATATTATTTTGAATTTTTAGCATAATTTCATTTGAACTTTATAGAGTACAAAACTTTTTTTTACGAGATAAAGGCTCAGTGAAATTTTTTTGACTACTCTGGCGCAAGCTCCAAAATTGCTGAACTTGTGACTCTTTTTCTATTGATGTGAAACTAAAATCAATTTCTATTTAAGCTAAATCGATCAATATTTTTTTGAGTTACAGTTTGGGCAGTGTAAAGCTTCCAAACGATTAAAAATTCGGATTGACGCTCTCAAATATATGCTATAATTTTATGTAAATATTTTTTATTTTCTGGTCAATATACTCTCAATATTTTATTTTTTTTTTTTAAATATGGAAAAAATTCGAAGTTTCTAAAAAAAATTATCTCTCTTAAATAAATTGTATTTGATTCAAGAA